GTTTACTCAAACTCATGTCCATTTCATCAGTGATGCCATCCAACCATCTCATCCTCCGTCATCCCCTTCTCCTCCCGCCCTCAATCTTTCCCAGCATCAGGGTCTTTTCCAGTGAGTCAGTTCTTGGCATCAGGTGGCCAAAGTATTGGAGTTTCAGCTTTAGCATCAGTCTTTCCAATGAATATTCAGGACTGATTTCCTTTAGGATTGACTGGTTGGATCTCCTTGCAGTCCAAAGGACTCTCAAGAGTCTTCTGCAAGACCACAGTTTTAATGTGCACACAAATCACTTGGAGAGGAAGACTGACTGGGGAGGTCTGCGGTGGGGTGGGGCTTCAGAGCCTGCATTCCCAGCAGCCCCACGGGTGGACAGCAGCTTTACTTCCGTAGGGACCAAACATGTCACCGCTGCTGTTCGCCTCGCTCCTCGCTGCCACAACAGCAAGAAACCAGAAAAGAGGCGGAGAGAAAACATCTAGAAACACGCTTTTCTGCATGCATTTCATAGTTCAAAACCTTTTTTTTAATTTAAGAAATTTAAAAAAGAATGAATTAGACTATTTAAGGACAATAGAACAGCAGTTGCCAGGAGCTGGGGATGGAGAGAGTAGATGACTACAAAAAAGTAAAAGGGAATTTGAGGGGATCTGACGGAACTGTTCTATATTTTGATGGTAGGTGCAGTTACAGTAGTGAATGCATTTATCAAAATTCAAAAACCACATGCTGGAAGGAGGTAATTTTGTTGTATGCATATTATATGTCAATAAAAATTAAAATTTAGATATAAAAAGCAAGGTTCATTTGATTTTTTATGTTTGTGAAAAATTAATGGTAGCACACAATTTGTTTTAGCTATCAGAAACAAAGCAGAAAATTTTCATTGAAAAAAATTCTACTTCCTCTTAAGACTTACTAATATTTTTTCACCTTGAGCCAATGAATTTAACTGAAATTGGCCTACTGTGTGAGAAACTGTGTGAGGCTATTAATTTCTGGGGCATTCTGGGAAACAGTTTGCCCTTCCTGGATCTCAAGCTCTTTCACATTTATTTCATGTCATCTTATTCTAATATATCAATGAACATGTAAGGATGAAATTGAGGTTCATTGTGAAAGCAATACCACATACAAAATAGAAAGACAGCATCAAATCTATCCTATGGAAAGGGAGAAAAACCAGGGGACTCCCCAGTAAGCAACAAATTATGAAAAGCAGCTCTTATGAAGCAGGGAAGCCTCCTTTACTCACAGATATTTATATTTTGCCTTATTTTCAAACATCCAAGGACTTATCTTGTAAATATAGTTAGTACTAAATATAAGTTAAAAAATTTTTTTCCAGTGTTATCTGACCCTCATTCCCCAAGAGGAAAAAAAAAAAAGGTAACATTTTAGTCGCTTAAGGTCATTTAGTGTATTAAGGTCTCCCTGCCCCTGACCCCAGCTGGGAACAAACACTCCATAATTTGTAACTTAAGGGTCAAACCATGAGCTGGTTGCGTGAAGGTAGGCAACACAGCTGCATTGTTATAGCTACTGGCTAAATTTAATATCTTACAAGAAAAGTGTCTTACCACTTGTGCTGGAACTTGTTCCATTTTTGCAGCAGGAGTTCCTGGTCTTGGGTAAAACTGGTTAATAAAGAGACTTGGAAATTTGTACTCTTCAACAAGTTTCACTGTTTCTTGAAAATCTTGGTCTGTTTCTCCAGGAAAACCACAGATGATATCTGTAGCAATAGTTATTCCAGGAACTCTAGGAAATAATGAGACAAAATGTACAAAGTTGACTACAATCCATAATTATTCTACTTCCTTGACATTTTAAATACCATTATTCCTTTAAAAATTAAATTTTATTTTTAGGAAAGGGGTGTTTGCAAAGAGTTTTAAAATGCCCTAAATAGTAAAATTTTATAAAAAACATGGCCCCCTACCATTCCCCAAAAGTACCTATTTTTTTTTTTAATAATTCAGATGTTTGTCTTTTCTTTTACATTTTAGTACTGATGCTTATTCTGCTATTTCTAGATTTACTGATTGTTAGGCAGCATTTGTTGACTTCAACAAGGATTTAGCTCTTTAAACTACTTTATCCTTCTCTTCCCAACATAATCAGTGCTCAACTTTTAGTTAAATTAACAGTATTAATGGTATTTCCATTGGTGTAATTGCTAAGATATTGTTCACTCTACAGTCAACTGGTATACTCTCAATTGGGGTTTCTTTTGCACATTTAATTTTTTGTATAACTGCCTAATTTTTAAAAAAATGTTTAATATTCTATATACTTAATTAAATGTTTTCCAGATCCATCAGTTCTGTCAAAACCCAATATTATTTTCTAAATTCTCAAAGTACCATATAATTCACTGGTTCCATTTTTCTCTCTAGAAATGCCATTCCTAACTTTCTTCAAGCATGAGTTGCTTTCATAATGGACCAGCTCTCATTCTTGAATATGGTTCCTTGGTCTTTTCAATCACCTTTTTTTCCTGGATCCTATGCCTTCCTAACACTTGACTATTCTGTTCTCCTTAACTCTGCTGGAGTATTCTTTCAAAAGCTTCATCAAAAAGAGTGGCAGGGAAATGTTGTTGTTATTGGCTTAGCATCTCTGAACATCTTAATCCACACAACTGACCAATAGTGTGGCCATGCATAGTACTCCAAAATAAAAAGTACTAGCCATCAGAATGTTGTGTTGTTCTTTTTTTTTTTAACTAGGCAAGATGCTGATGAGATTTCCAGATTTACTCTGATGCAAACTTTTTACATGGGCCCCCCTAACTTTTTCTAAGTTTTTAGGGTGTTCATTTTATTTTGAAAGTTTTAAAAATTTCATGTTAGCCTCTTGGCAGTCATTTCTCTTTGGCTATTGGGTTTCTCCATAAGTATGCTACAATATTGTGTGAAAGAATGACAAATTCATTTTTAAAAATGTTTCTTGCTTTCTGCTTAGTCTCACCCAGCTATTAATTTGGCTGAGCTTTAATTAGTAAAAGTTCCAACGTCTGGAACTTTTCTGTGTGCTGCTAGATAGAAAAAGAGACAAACTGTGCAGAGAAAAATGAAACAGCATATTTGGAAAAAAATTTTTTTTAATTTTTATTGTGATATAAAAATATTTTTTCTTTTAAGGGTAATTATAAAAATTATTTTTAAATATCATAAAAAACATATGCTTTAATAGTAAGTTGTAAATAAAAAGATGGTTTTCTAGACTTACTAAAGCATGTGAAATAAAATTATGTCAATAACTTCAATTAGCAATTTTTTTTTCTTTACAGCTGACATAAAGCTACTTCTGAACAAAAGAAATCCACAACTAAAAATAAAAGTAATAGATCACAGCAGAAATGACAGAGACGAGTCCATCTCCCTAGGAAATTAGAGGAAAAAAAATCTGAGAAATTGCCTGTGAAACACTGCAGTGACAAAGACAATTGGCTATTGTCCCTAGGCTATGAATTGGAATGAACTTGGCACTAGACTGTGGGGCATTCCCAAAGGAAAGTACCTTACTGCTCCTCCCCCCTCACCCAGCATCCTTCTTGATCCCGTGTAATTCAGTTCAGTATGATGCAACACCTGCTTACTTTGGCCTTCAAGTCCACAGCCAAAAAGGAAAGACAAACCTTTACAGTAGTTGCCATAAATGTTAAGGAAGAGGGTGTTCAATGCATAAATACGTTTGATAATCTGCAAAAAAGCTGACCAATAACAGAGGTGAGGGTAGGACACTATGAATTAGTGAAAGACCTAAGTTAGTATTTAAAAGTAAATGCAATTTAAGTTTCAAAGTATATAACAACATAAACTGACTACCCATAAAATGTTTCAAACTAGAGACTACACATTAATGTTGAAACTCATCTATATATTGATTTTATATATGCAAATCATTCTATATAGGTTCTTCAAAATAACTGGGCTCCTTAGATGAACCAAAAAAAAAATCTGATATTTACACTGTTAATTGCTTAGTAAATAATTCTCTTCAGTACATGAGAAAAATCAAACAAGTTTGAAGTGGACCAAATTCTAAATTAATTGTATATGATTTCAGAGACTGTTAGGAAATTTTAAGGGGCGTAAAACAGAATATTAATGCAAATATTTAATGCTAATTGTGAGTAAATGCTGCTTTTTGAGACGGTATAAGTTTTAAAATACTAATATTTTTAAATGACCATTTCCACAAATTTATTGAAACTATGAGTCTAATAAATATAATTACTAGCTGTTAAGCCTTTTTAAAATCTAGAAGACCTTCTGTATTTACATTTTCATAGTAGTATTAATTCTGAAAGAATGATGAAAATGTTCAATTAGCTTAAATAAGAGAAATTTTGATGTATTTTTCCCGACTTACACTAGTTATTCACTTGCAAAAAGGTTCATTAAATAACTTGGGAATGGAATTAACGAGAACATTTCTAACTATGCCTCTGCTCTGATCTTATGATTAGTTCTGAGAAATCAGTCAGGGACGTGTGAAGAGAATACTACCTATGTAGTAGGTAGGCCAGCATTTAAGAAAACTCCAAATATTTAAAAATACTTATTATTTAGACTGACTGAAAATATGTACAAATATACACTCCATACTATATCTGAAATGCTACAAAAAATGTGGTGCTTTAATTCACTTCAATATTTTCACTTGCAATTTGGTGTTTTATTAGCAAAAGTATAAGAAGGATGATTCTATATCATTCTTTAGGTCTCAATAAATTATGAGCTTCAAATTCCACATGTGAAAAAAGTAAGACTAACACACATGCTATTTATCAAAGCAGTAAAAAGGATCAAAAAGGATCAGACCTATTAAAATTATTAAGCATAAACAAAATATATGATTAAAAGAATTATTTTTTCATCTTATGGAGATTAATTTTAGGACTCTCAGTCCATACTTTCAGGAAACACTAACTTAGAAGTAGAAAGAGAAAAAAAATCCAGAATGAAAATAAAAATATAACATATCTAAATATATGGGATACAGTTAAAGGAGTGCTTAGAAAGAAATTAATAAATTTAAATGTCTGTGTTAGAAAGAGGTAAACAATAATCTAACCTTCCATCTTAAGAGGTTTAAAAAGGAGTAAATCAAGCCCAAAGTAAGACAAATAAGCTAATAAAGGTAATAGAAGGAAACAAAAAAATAGAAAAAACAACAAAAGTAAGGGTGTATCTTTAAAAATAATAAAATTACTAAACTAGTAGTAGACTGAGAAGATAAAACATAAATAACCAACTTCAGGCATGATGAAGGAGACAGCACTATAGATGCTATCAATATTCAAAGGATACTAAGGGAATATTATGGGCTTCCCTGGTGGCTCAGAGGTTAAAGCGTCTGCCTGCAATGCGGGAGACCTGGGTTCGATCCCTAGGTCGGGAAGATCCCCTGGAGAAGGAAATGGCAATCCACTCTGGTATTCTTGCCTGGAGAATCCCATAGACGGAGGAGCCTGGTGGGCTATAGTCCACGGGGTCGCAAAGAGTCAGACACGACTGAGTGACTTAACTTTCACGAACTTTCACTTTCACTAAAGGAGTATTATAAGCAATTTTGTGTCAATAAACTAAACACTTAGATGAAATGGGAAAATTCTTTTAAAGATGCGAGTTACAAAAACGGACTGAAAAAGACAGGAAAATCTGGACAGTCTTTTATCTACTACAAAAATCCAACTTGTAATTTAAAATACTGTCAAAGAAAACAACACAAAACAACCCAGTCCAGATGTATTCCAGAGGGAATACAACCAATGCTACAGAGATTCTTTCTTTCTTTTTTTTTTTCTGGCCAGTTGGCATGCCATATCTTAGTTTCCTGACCAGGGATCAAACCTGGAGCCGTGGCAGTGAGAGCATTGAGTTCTAACCACTGGATAATCAGGAATTCCTAGACATGATTTCAAAAACAGATGAGAAATAAACTCATTTTACAAGTCTAGCAAATGGAGCCTATATGAAAAAACAGAGAAAGAGATGGAAATATTAATATTTTCAGACCAATAATCCTCATGAACTCAGAGATAAAAATCCTTAACAAAATATAAGCAAACCAAGTACTGAAATACATAAAAAGCATTCTATATCTTGACTATGTTTTTAATCAGAAATGCAAGGGTTGGTATGACATGCAAATATTAATGAAATAAGCCATATGAAAAGAAAAAAGGATAAAAACCCCATGGTGATCTTAGTACATGCAGAAAACTCAGTTGACAAAACCAACCCCTATTCATGATAAAAATTCTCAGCAAAGAAAGAACAGAAGGAAACTACTGCAACCTGATAAAGGTCTAGAGCAATTATATTTATTGGTAGAATACTAAATACTGTTCCATTAAGAACAGCAACAAGGCAAAGAATTCTGTTCTTCTTCAATTCAGCATTTTAGTGGAGCAGAACATATATTCAGGGCAGGAAAGCAAGAGAAAGAAATTAAAAGCATATAGATTGAAAAGAAAAAGGTTTTTTTTTGGGCAAGTGACATAATCTCATATGTAGAAAATTCAAGGAAACTAATGAATCCACTAGAAAAAATGAGTTCACTAATGCTAAAGATTAACATACAAAAATCAATTTTATTTTTATATATTAAATGAATGAGAAAATTAAATTAAGAAAAGAATTTCATTCACATTAGCATAAAAATACTTAAGAAAACATTTGAGCATAAAAACAGATAACTTACAGAGAGTTTCTTAAAATTTTCTGCAATGTTAAAGAATAGTCAAA